TGTGCAGTTCCGAAGTGCATGCTTGCCGTTCCCTCCACTTCGCTTGCTAACGTGTATTAGTTTGTAACGAAATATACTACATTATAGTAGAGTGTAGTGTAGTATGGTTTCATGCTATGCAGCTACCCCTGCAAGATAGTTTCGGAGCAGCCTTGTCCCAGCTTCGCGGTTTCATGTTGGCTAGAAGCTATTTGCAAGATCCGAATCTGTCACCAGGCCCCATAGAGGGCCCGTGGGTGGCCCGGGCAGCAGCTCTTTGGCAGCAATCGCGGAGCAGGAGTTGAGAGATGCAGCCGTTTCTGTCGTCTACCCTTCATGGCCACTGCTGAAAGAAACACAAAAGACATGGATGCAATCACAGCGCGGCAGTTGGACATGTCGAAAAGACGAGACCAAGAAGCTAGCAGGCTTGGAAACGGACCAGAAATCTGACCCATCAGTGAGAAGTCCAGCAGTCCGCAAGCACAGGTGGTCACTGCAGCTTTGTTGACTGCTGGCATGCTATCTGCCTGGCTTCGGCGATCAAAGGTCGAGGGCGAAGGCGCAGCTCAGCGAGCTTGACTGCTCCTTTCGTGGGTTTTTTCGTTGTGCCGTAGCAATGAACATAGTCGGTACGAGACCCGACCAAGTCCAGGAATGCGAAGCCTGGACCTCTTGAGATCGGCAGACGACGTCATGTGTTGCTGGTAGGCCTACGCATAGCTTCCAAGTCCAAGCTTCACCAGGTTGTGCCTCTGCACGATCTCCGCTCCTCGCCGACGGCCCAGTTCTGCCCGCCTGAGGGGAGGGCCAAAGTGTCTTAGGGGCTCACGCCAGAGCGCTTCCATTACGAAGGTAAACTCAAGCCCGACAGCTTTTGCAGCTTACTTGCCTCTGATGTGACGGGATCTGTGACACCCGTAGTACTAGTCTAGTAGTAGCCGGTTCCTCTAGGCACCGTGGGGTGCTAAGACGCCGTGCCCACAAGCACCGCAGAGCCGGGCTCGAAGGCTTCTCTTCTGTTGATAGTGCCCTGAGCACACAAGAGAAGTCACAGCATGAAGAGGATCTTCGGTTCTGATACCATCGGTGCACTCTGAGAATGAGTCGGGTTATGGTCATGGCCGTCATCTACACGATATATAAGATATGTGTTTGCTGCCTCTGCGGAGTGGGAGGCGCACCGCATCCTACGGGATAGGCAAAAGCCTGCCGCATACTTCTTGGAATGTGGACACGCCTTGAACTTCAGATGTCTCCGATTTATTCAAGACACGTGCCAGCACAACTCAGCCCCTGTGCCAGAAATCTCTGTACCCATGTACGACATGATCCAGAAGGGAACAGGATTTTCGCCCCTAAACCCTTTCTCCAGATATGTGTGAGTTGGACCTGTCTCTAAAACTCGCTCCGAATCCCGCAAGCTTTGAAATCTTGGAGCCCTAGAGTTCCCTAGAACCCCCAGTTGTTTAAAGTGTCCAAGTCCCAAGCATTTGCGGTGGCGACGAGCATCAGGGCTCCGAGACCGGATTTAGTTCGGATCTGCCCGGCTTGTCACTGCTCGGTCGGGCTCCTTGCGCTCCAGTCCAGGGCTGTCAGTATCTCCGGATTTGGAGACCAGCGGCTTGGCTTCAGGGTTTAGGCTTCAAAGGGAGGAAGGTTCTAAGAGGAGAAGAACACCGAGGCTTTCGAATCTCGGATTCACGGGTGCAGTGCCAAACGCGTTTCAGATTGAGGCTCCTCTGTTAGGACCTTGACATGCCTTGGGCTAATAACATTGCGTCCTTAGTGCTATACTGGTATCTCCTGGGAGGAGTTGGTGTGGCACGATATATTGCTGCTGGAGGCTCCAAAACGACCCGGCTGGTCGAGGGCGCACTGTCCGGCGTAAGTGCCTTTCCCGCAAACCTGTCCGTCACGAGTTCATTTTACAGGGTTTAGGGTTTAGGGAAGTTTCGGGATGTTTCAGGGTAGATCTTACGCAATGGTCACAAAAACCCGCGCCCATAAATATTTACCGAAGGCGGCTTTGTGCCAATTGAAGCTTGCGACTCGAAGGCTCAATGCCTCCCTCATGTGTGTTGTTGTGTAGAGGTTTCAACCTTGGGGGGAGCGCCTGTGACCCTGCTGAGCTTGCATCTGCATGCAAAGCTTGTTTTGCCAAAATCCACGGCTGAGTCTGTGCAATGCATTGACAAGAGCCATGCCAGAATGGGCCTTTTCATGCCCTTTCAGAGTTGTGCCAAGCTCATGTAACCGTAAACTACAGCTACACTTCTGTACGGTGTTGTCACTTCTCATCATGTTACCTTCCACGAGTAACTGCAAAGTTGCTGTTGTTACGCACGTTTTGCCAAAGCATGAGTACAGTACTGTGGCTCATATCTGTGCAACTTATATCGGAGCACATGTCCCATCCACATAAACGTGCCGTTGTTGCGAGGTATCGATTTAAATCACATTCAGCCGCGCTGACACCTTCCCATTGATGCATGGTCTTTATCTCAGAAGCGCTGAAAATCCTACGTAGTGCCCAAAGGATCAGGCGCTTTGCACTGCGTTGTCAGCTTTGTCTTCTCACAGCTCAGGGTTCGGTGCCGGTTTCTGGGCAGCGTAGGGCCGATTTCTGGAAATCTTCCGACCAGCCGTCGAGGAATTCCTCGTGTTTAAACTTGAGCATGTGGTCTGGGAACCAGAGTGGATCAGCCGGCTGCCCCCTTCAAAGCTCAATCTGATTCACCCAAGCTGTCATGAATATCAGCACGAGATCCCTCACTCCGTGCAACAGGCAACGATATTAAGCGTCAAGACTTTCAGATGCAATGTTTCGGCGGCTGTACACTCTTCTAACAGTGCTCCTGATCGAAACTGCTGCTAGAGTCGTCGCCCAATGATGGATCGTGGTGCTAAACGCAGCACTGCGAAGCACTATTCGAGCATCGTGCTGATGTTGAAAATGTCGTGTGAAGTCTGGTGCTCTTTCCTAGCACGGGCCCTTCGCTACTTTGGCAGCTGCGCATTCGCCTCTCCCCAACTTAACAGAATCCAGCTTCAGCTTGGCTCCAGCACCGGTAGCAGCTGTGACGCCAGTTGTCAACCAAGACCAAAACCCACCATACCCCACCCTGACCCCATCTCAGAAGGTTCGAAGCATTGAACAAGCGATCCCATTTCTTTCACTGTCCGCTATGGCGACTGCAACGGACGGTGGCCGGCTCGGATTAAAAGCCGTCCTGCGATTTCCACGCCGCGAGACCGACCAGAGATATAAGCATCGCAGAAAGCAGCGAAGCAGCAAATTCCCAATAGACCTCGTAGTGCCTCGGGTGATCTTGGCGGTCCAAACCCATGCCGCATTGAGTCTTGTGGTTCTCCAGGTGCGGAAGCCCCTCTGTGTGTGTTCATCAGCCACGACCCCTTGAGTCTGGATTTGCTGATGAAGAAGGTGCGCAAAGGATGTTGCTCTGCTGGTTACGACAACCGTACCTGAGTATCCACATTCGTTGACCCAGCATGCGAACCGTTCAGTGCAAGAGCTATTAAGGCTGTGTTGGAAGTCCGGATGCACTTCAACTTAGAGCATGGCTGCGACGACTTTGTCTCGCATACCCTTCAGATTTCAGAGCTTACTACGCACGGAGAGAGCCCGCTTTCGGGCCGTGTAAACAAAATCGCAAGAGGCATTTCGCAAGCAGCCACCTAGTTCATCCACCTGTTTCGTCCCAGTTCCGCAGGTGTCTGACACCGGTTGCGGGGCCATTACCACGTTCTCAGGCTCCCCGTGCATTTGGCTCAATAGACAGGCGGTTGCAGCAGAGTGTAGTGGACAAGCAATCCGCCGCTGAGAGCTTGATGGCGGATCATCGGGTCTTTTAGTGAGTCGAACACATGTGGAATTCAATCTGGTAGTTGAAAGTCTTTGAGTCGACATACAGCTGGCCAGGCACCACGAGGGACAACTTCGATGGCAAAGAGGCCATGCAAAGCCTCCGATGTCCAAGCCATGCCACTGGGGAGCTTTCTTGGGTTGGGTTGACCACATAGAGTCCCATGTCATTTAGTTGGTGCAGGGGCATTGCATTGTTTGGTTCTCGTGGCTGCTTGTCATGAGGACGTCAGTTGAAAGCATCGGACAACTGATTTCAGAGTGGGTTCACTTACTTCCGGGGAGTATACACAGGAAAATAAAGCACAATGGATCTCTCGATGGACGGCAAGAAGAAAAGTTGCCTCTGCACGACAAAAATGCCACGCTCGTACATTTATTCACGTTGCGAAAAATGACATCTCAAGTGTGAGATTGTTAAGAAAAAAAGTGAACTGCACACAATTAATCTGCAAAGACTGTCACCACAATCAGAAATCAGGAAGCGCAAGCCCCAAACACTCCCTCGTCGGACACAGAAGCATGCCATCCTAGCATATCCTAGCAGCCCTCCTAAAAAACGTGAGGAAGGATTGGTAAACATCCTGTTAGGGTGCAGGGTGTTCCCATGGAACTCCCTCGTCAATGTGTCAATGTGAGACTTAGCCAGGCCCCCGGCATGGACTATAGTCTGAAGCTCATGCACTCCGCGATTGTAGCCGGAAAACCCCCAGTACCCGACAGGAATGCACACCTACTGGCATTAGGTGTGCATTCATGCAGCATGTCGGGTCGGGCTTTTGGTAAACTAGCAATACGTTCAAAACTCCAGTCAGGTAAGCATCCACCTGTTGCAGGTCGTCCGTCTCGAATACGAAGCTTACGAGCCCATGGCACTGAAGGCGACTTCGTTGGTTCAGGGTGCAATGGAATAAGTAGGCAGCTTTTGGTGAAGCACCCTGAACTGGCGCTTCTTCTGCAGTAGGGTTAAAATAAGTTGACCGAATAGCCTGCAACTTCACAGCCGAAGTTTAGTGAGGAATTGGAGAAGATCTGCCGCGATGTTCTCGGCGGTGCCTGTGGGAAGGGAGTGAGGCCGGTCCGCCCTCGTTCGTGCTGCAGCCCTCGGAAGTTCAGCCCATGCAGCGTAGGGTTTAGAATCCCTAAGACAAGAGGAACCTTCGACAGTGAGCGGCATGAGCATCGGGAATGTTCAACTTAATGGCACGGTTGGCAAGCGGCGTCACGAAAGACAGATACACACCCACACCATCCCTCCTGAATCACCAGGAAGGTGGCATGCGCTCACCGTCTAGGTGTTCGGCCCTCGGAAGACTCCAGTACGATGCAGGTGCCAATGCTTCAGGAGGGACGAAGATCGTTCCCTTCTACCATCCAAAGCCCAACACAATCCCCCAGGTGGTGCCCCTCGGCGAGGCCTCTGTGCTCATCGCCGTGGCTTCGGAACATCGTGCCGAGGCAGAGTCTCCAGGAAACCTGCGCATCGCTGTGTACAGTGAGCGAGGAAAGGAATCATAGTTTGTTCAGGATCTCTAATATGCATGTATGCATGCATCTATGTATTTGTGGATGTGTGTATGTTCGCATACATGTTGCATGTATGTGTGTCTGTATGCATGTATATATTCTCGTACGAATGTGTGAGTAAGTAAACAAGCAAGCAACTAAATAGGTAGGCAGGCAGGCAGGCAGGCAGGCAGGCAGGTAGGTAGGTAGGTAGGTAGGTATGTATTTATGCATGCATGTAAACTGCAAGTGTGCATATATACATGCATATACATATATACACACATGTACATACACATGTACATGTATACATACCTACGAACACATGTGTTTATATATGCGTGCACACATGTGTCTATGTATCTATGTATGCAGATGTGCGTATATCTATGTAGACAGAAGGTAGATCCCTCGCTCTCTTGCCTTCCGGGTCAGCATGCGCCGCAATAGAGACCAACACAAACGAGCATGCATGCATACACACATAGATACTGGTATGCAGACCGATATGAAAAATACGCTGGTACCTTTGCATGCGTGTATATATTAAAGTATAGCAAGCAGTTCAAGCACTCGGCTGCTGCACTTCTGCATGTGTTTTGGGTGGGATTACGACATTGTGCTAAACTGAGCCGAGAATAGTCGAAGGAAAGCAAGGTTTGTAGCTTCTGAGCATTCAATGTCTCGAGGGCTTCGATGCCTGCCGGTACATCATCGACACGCTGAAGGCCGATTGTTTTGGTCTTCACTTTGTATAGCAATTCTGATGTTGGTTCCGTTTGGGTTATCATTTTGTTCGTCATAATGATGTTCGACTCTTCGTTCTCTTCCGACCCGGAACTGTGGGCGACATCCTTAACGAAGCTGTCGAACGATAGCCAGAGTGTAGTGAGAGTCAGAATGTCGTCTTTGCAGGGTCCTCGTGCTGGATGCACCACCGGGAGTGGCCAGCAGAGTTCATTGACCTCTGAAATGGTTCGATTCCTGCAGGCGAAAGTTCCGATCTGGAAGAAGGAGATTTATGCAGACGGGTCGACCTGGAAGGCGCTGCGGGGTACATCATAGCCAAAGCAGCTAAGGGAAGACTATCTCATTAGTGATTAGTGACACGGATCTGAGACAGGCTTTCGTCACTCACTGCTCGTGTCAGTCTCCTCACGATACTGACACGCCCATCCGCGTCGCTCCGGAGGCAAACAAAGAGTGGGATCCCAGCCACAGCTAGCTCGGGTCGACCTGCGAGAAAAACCTCTGTCCGGGCGCAGGGCCAGCTTGTTTGTTGGAGATTTGCACGCTGTGAGGTGAGGCTTTACCGAAGAGGATTGGGATTGGGGTTTGCACGAGAGGTGCGAAGCATGCAGGAAGTGCAGGCTCTCCACCGGACGCTCCACACCTCATGAAGTGAAACCTCGGTCTCTGCGGCAAGTCTTGAAAGGGAGCCTTGCACAGGATACGTTGCCGAGCCCCAGAGATCCAGAGATGTCAAGGCGGCACTGGACGCTACTTGCACCCCAAAGGTCAGAGGACCTGGGTCAAGCTCAACACGGAGGATGCTTGAGGCTTTTTTCTTTCGAGCTCGCGAGCTGGCATTTAGTACTAAATTTGTCCCAATCTGGGTAAGGGGTAAATCTTATCCAGGGCCATGGGGCGTTCCTGTGAACTCGCGCACATACAGGCGTGCATTGCAAGTTGCGCGCTGATTGCACTGGAGAAGTGGATGGCGTGCTGTTTTGACAAAGTAGCCGCAAAATTGCAACGGTGCTGTGAGGTGTGGTAGTAGGCCTTGTAGCTTTCTCATGTCATACGGGCCTTTCTGGCTCAAGCTATTTTGACTCAAGATCAACATCTATCTCAAGGTTCTCGCCGCGACTGTGCGCCAACCTGTTGAAGCATCATGGGCAATCTCCCAACAATGTTGCTTCTTCTCATCGCGTTGGCAAAGGCAAGGGCCATTCCGCCGCCGCCTTTGCCTGGTACGCAACTCGTCGGCCAAGCCATCGACATATTGACAGCGACACGCTTCGGCTATACACACAGCGCCGGGAACATCTTCAAGTTCAACTATAACCTGTCCACAGCTGCGTTTGACAAGGAGTACATATACCCGTGGGGGATGCAGCAGCCGGCACCCATCTCCGATTGCGACCGGACAGTTACCACGATTTCTGTCAAGACCATGGACGATTACCAAAGGGAGACCACCAACGACATGAGTATCGGCGTCACATACAAAAGCTTCAGTGGGTTGAAGTGGGTTGTACTCAAGTTCCACGAAGGAAGTGCGCCGGCACCTATCCGAACAGAACGTTTGGATTTCAGAGTCGCGCACACGCTGTGTGAAGTACCAGCTGACCCTGCTTCCAGGCTATGCCGAGTTGGACCCCGTTTCTCTTTGCTGCAAAGGCATTGCCGACCAAATTCACGAAGACCTCCCCTGAGCCATTCTTCAAGTTCTTTGACCAATGGAACACGCACTTCACAACGCAATGTGCCGTGGCTGGCGCAATGGGTGAACGCGCCTTCACCAAGTCAACTTTCACCAAAGATCACACCGAGCAGGATGTGCAAGACCAAGCGAAAGCAAGCTTTATTGTCAGCATTGACAACAAGGCATCAACAAGCACAACTGTCGACAAGGAGTTCACTCAAGAGACTACGTTTACAGGTATCGAGATTCATGGAGGTATACCAACCGGTGACAAGCAATGGCCAGATTGGATGGCAAGTGTCTTGGCGCTCAACAATCCAGTCTGCCTTGATTTGCAAGCCAGGGAAATAGCTGATGTTATGACGCCAGAGTGGACAGCAGACAGTGACTTGCATTTGCGGGCTGCTGCAGTGAAAGAGGCCTTGGCAGGATACTTTCACCGCCCCGGGTGCATGAATCCGCTATTCCCTAATTACGATGAACATGCCCTTCAAGATGATGGCAGTTGCGGTCCAAGGGTGGCCAGCTTGCTTGCATGAGAGCTTACATTGACTTGGAAGACTCTGTCTACGTAGGCAACGGCAAGCAGCTAAGATGGTTGCATGTTAGGGGCGTTGATGTCGGCCGTCAGGATGGGCATAATGATCCTGTAACACTGACCTTCACCATGGCGGATGGCAAGGTGCATGAGCTCGCCTGGTACCCACAGCAATCGCGTGTCTTCTCATCTCCCTTCCTGCTCAACTACTGCGCGGCTGCCAAGTTCACAAAACATGAGGGTCGCGACAGTGTGTACTTGATTCACTGGGGTACAGAGCAGAGACCTGAGAATGAGGTCAAATTTATTGATAACCCTAAAGGCGCAGCATGGTATGCTTTTGAGCTCTCGTGGAATGCAGAGGATGTATGTCCCTCTCCTACAGAGCATGCCTTCTCTTTCACCGTCTGAGCACGACACTCGCCCAGCGTTTTTGCAGAAACACAACAGATGCAAGCCAATAAGCCACGCAGGCCGTACAGCACCTCAAAGCCGTGTGTCTTCTGTTTGGTGGTTCTGTACATCCGTTGGCTCTTCTGGCTGGTAGGCATCGCCGTGGTATGCATCATGCAAGCCATCAGATTGACTGTCACATGTACGAGATATGCACAGCGAGATACCTCTTTCAACAGAGATGCCAGACCTCAATGCCAAAAATGACATTTTCTTGAAGCACACCATGCAAGCAACCTAAGCTGCGACTTTGAGTCTAAGTGACTGTGCCACAACACGTGGAGAATTTGCAAATCTGCAGACAAGACTTGCAGGCAGGGGCACAGGGTTGGGTCAGGACTGCGGAATGAAAGGCTTCCTTGTGCCGATTTGTTCCGTCATGCAAAGACGAACCCTGAAAGGCATGCGTTCAGACGGAACTGCATGGGCTCGTGGCACTACGATGTGCTCTGTGATTCTACACCCACTAAGCTGGCAGTGCAGGCGGAGACCATGCTGCGGCAGAATGAGAACATCAGCCCCAAGGCAGGATTATCAGCAGGACGTTGTCTTCCCCTTGCAGGATTTTACAAGCTGCAGTAAGTCACGTTTGGATGCACATGCGCGCCAGGTCTTCAACTTGCTCATCCGTCAGATGACGGCGGGTACCCCAGAGCTTTCTCATGTTTATTCTTCATGGAGTTTTATGGGAGTTTACTTATGCGTCGGAGCTTATGTGACAAGCCGTCCGAGGTTGAGTGTTGCGACTGTTCGTGATTTCGCTTTGTATCACCATCATCGTTGCCGTGTGCTCCTGATTCTGTCGCACTCCTGTGCTTTCGCCTGTGCAGGACGCCACGCACAAATTCCGTAGTAACCGAGGGACGGAGAACTATGCACGTCCGCAGGGCCAAGCGATCGACTATCATCCTCAGGCATCGTTTCATGCCAACGTTTTGTTTGGTTGGTGGACCGAACACGGATACCACGTGCTGCGCTGCAATAAGATTGGTAAGGGTTTAATCGACAGACTGTGAAAGTACGGACGGCAACGGTTATCATGGGACTTGTAGAGGGCAGTCCTGCAAGTTTGCCCGCTGTAGGCACTCCAGCAAGAGAAGCTGGACGGAGTACAGTTTGTGCCAAACCACGAGGCCATGGTTTTGACGCTTTCATCAGGCAAAGATGCACAGATTGTAGCGGCTGGGGGACGTCTTTCTCGGCTTCATACACTGCACACCGGATATTGTCGAGCTTCCAGAAGGTCCGTGGAACGGCTGTTGCTCAGTGTTACTGTGCTTCACCTAACATTCCCTTCACCTCAATGTGGCTCCCGACGAATCCCAGTACAGCGCAGGACCCGCTGGACGTGCAGGCCATCGTTGAAGGACCCACACAGACTCCGTTTGGGGCCCAACTTTGCCTCCCTACGGCTGGTGCGTCTGCTTTTGAACCTGGGTTTCTGGAGAACTTGCAGTTCTTGTTACGGGTCTGTACGTGGTAATTAAATAGGAAGGTTGATTCACCGGTACGGCACGCCAGCGCGATATTTCAAGCTGAATGCTGCCATTAAAAGACTGCTCCAAGTCGAAGCTGCGGTGTCACTGCTGCAGCCAATCAGCAGGGTATTTGGTCATCTCCTTGTTTGTTCTGACCTAGGATACGAAGATGATGTAGAGTTTCATGTTCAAGAGCAATGGGAGACCTGACAAGATTCAATGAGAATCATTCGATCCTGTTGCATCATGTGAAACAAGGTGCTTCAATTGCACAAAGTAGGTGGACAGCACGGGAGCATCCTCGCAGAAGGCGGAGCGAAGAATGAACATAAGTACCAGATGGTCATGAGAGCTGCATCCTGCCGACTTGAAGAGCAGATGGGCCTTGATGTGTAGATGCGTTGGCTGCTAGTCGTGGGAGGAATTGGACATCTGGCTCTCTAAAACCTCTGCACAAATGGCTTGGGTTTAGCCTGGTGCACACGATACACCCTTTGCTGGGATTCGAGGGCCTTGTCCATGCATCGCGCAGTAAGTACACATGGTACACAAGCAGGGGGATTCTAGCTGAGAGCCCGAGACGTTCCTGACTCCGGATTGCTGCGGGTCCCTCCAAGGTACGAAGGAGGCACTTACCGCTTGAAGATTGTGATTGGCGCAGAGTTTCCGCAGCAGCCACCACGAGCAGCTGCAGACTCGGCTGGGTTTGGACTAAGTCAGGTCATTTGGAATATAGGCGGTAGGGCCGGAAGCTAGGGGTGGAGGGAAGGGCAGGTAAGAAAGAGAGCGTGAGTGATAAGGATGCAGGCATGTGAATCAGAGGGTGGGCCGGGGGGCGGAGTGCATGTCATAGTTGCGGTCACACTTCCGCTGCATGTAGGAAATCGGCCCGGCGACAGTGAGCAGGAGCATTCATGCGTGTTGGCACTGCTCTAAGCGTCAAAGCCTTGCGTCTGCTGCTGAGGTCTTCTTGACGAAGATCTTTCACCCAAACATTTCTCAAAATGGCGATGTCTGTGTGAACACGCTGAAGAGGCACACCAGATCTGGTCTACACGTGGCCACTCCCAGACTGCAATCGCTGCATGTCTGTAAACGCTTGCGGCGTACAAGGGCATGTCCGCAACTAGCAGCAAGGTGATAAGAGTCTAGAGACTCCTGCAAAGCGAAGTGTGGCATCACCGGTGGCTGCAAGCCTGAAGGCAAGCCCAGCAACCCACAATATTGAGCAAGACCCCACTGACACAGCACGCATTGAAAGCCTACATACATCCTCCAGAAGTTAAATGGGATGACTCACCTTCCCTGTTTGCAGGGACTGGGATCCACAAAACTGGTCCCTGGGTCATGTGCTGCAGGCTGGACAAGGGCTCAAGGGCTGGGTTTTGAGGGTCCGGCAAGGCCCCGGGTGCCGAAAAAAGGCTCACAAGCACAGTTTGCCTTCATGGTCCGTACTCCAGTGGACCAGGACCATGCATCGGTGCTGGCGCATTGAGATGCTGCGGCAGGTTAAGCGAATCCTTAAAGAACGCCATTGCAGGTGATTCGCTGCTTGCTCATCGTACCTTTCCCGGAGTCCGCTCTGAACGAGGAGGCGGACACGGAGCAAGCAAGGAGTTCTGGGTGCGAAGAGGCTGAGGTATAGTTGCACCTACACAAGGGGCTTGCTTCTGAGATGCTCCGGGCCGTCGTTGCAAGTTGAAATCTGTAGAGGGCGTAGACCTTGCATGGAAATAAGAAGAGCTCGTCTTGTGCTTACTCGCAAAGTCCTTAGGCTGCAGGCTGGCGACGGAATGACTTTCGGAAGGGAGGTACATAGCAGGGGTCACGCAAGTCCGTTGCAGCGACTGTGCCGTGGCAAGACGTGCTGATGGGCAAAGGGGATTTGGTTATGTAACAAGACCCCGCCCCTGCCAAGCCGAGAGCAAATGCGCGAATAGTTAGATAGCAATTCAAACGGTGCCGCGCCCGAGGTTTCCTGTCACAGCTACGGCAGAGAGAGTGTCGTCCAAAAGCCCGTTGTAGTATGTTGTAGTCATAAAGGCCCGTATTTTGCGACCTGACATGGTCACACACACGAAGAGTTCATTTGGAGCTCGAAGGCCGGGCGCCTCTTCATGGAAAGCTACAACGAGTAGCTGCCTAAGACGGGATGGAGGGACTCCTGAAGATGGAGACCCATGGAGACCCCAAGCTCGCTGGGCTTTTTGAGATGAAATTCGGGCTCCAGGACTACAGTAAAGGTGCTTGCAGCACGATCGATCCGATGTTTTGGGTTGTCCGGCTTCCTGTCTACTCAGATATCATTGTGATGGTGACTAGATCCGTGGTGTGAACTTTCCCCCTCTCCAGATGTTCTGATGCGAGAGTTTTCCTTGCCGGGCCAGGCTGAGATGCAACCCCTGAGCAACTGAACGAGAGGCCTCACAGAACAGGAGCTCTTGAAACACTCCAAAACTTGTAAAGTACCGTGAAATCCTCCGATAAGGGAAGCCCCGACTCCAACACCCAGATCCCTCCGAGGTATTACAGCCACGCAGCCGGAGCCCTGGTGGCAGAGGGCGCTGGAAGCCTCTTTTGCTCGAGGGATCTGTCTTCTCGAAGATGGCGGATGCTAGCTCTTTCGGCCCATGGGCATGAAGCAATGCACTAAGGGCTTCGGGTGGAATCGGGAACTAGATGATGGTTTTGTGCTGGCATAGCAAGAGTGCGTCCATCAACCGTAACAGAGGCATGCTAGCCATAGGGCAATGCTCAATGTCAAAAGCCGAACCAGGCCAACTCGCTTGTACCGGCTGGGCCTCTTCAAATGCTCTCGGCCTAAGCTCTGCGTTTACTGGCTCGACGCACAGGCCATGATGAACCGAGTCCATGCAGTGACTGCGGCGGAAACCCCTGCCAACTTGGCCAACACCCCGGAGGCAGGCGATAACTCAGAGGACCAGGGGGATGCAACCAGATGAGACGAAAGCATAAGGCACGGACAAGCAACTGCCAAAGCAGAGAGAAGACTAGCCTTGCAGATGCCTCGAATGCATCACGGACAAAAGAATATACAAGCGCAGCCTGGATCAATGCTGACTTAGCAGTTGACGTTCGCTGACAGCCCGCCCTCGCCTGCTCGCACATCAACCTCTTACTCGTATCGACTAGTAAGGAACAGTTACAAGCTGCTAAAGATTTACATTTTTGCATTGCAATATGTCACTGCTTGGTGCTTTTGCGGAGGACCTGGAGCTCGCAAGGAAGAAGGCGATGAAGCAGGTGCCAATGGTTTGGTGGAGCACTGCGAAACAACGTAAGCCCTCGTGGCCACACAGGAAGCTGCCGTCTCAAGCGCCCGAGTAGCTGCGTGAGTTGGATTCGCCTGGTCTACAGGCCATAAATAAATAGCAGTGCATAGAGATACTCTTGACTACTGCGTATTGCAAGCTGCACGGCTTCAACTTTCGCATGCCCAACACTCAACCTCCGAACCATAGGTTGAATCGAACGCAATTGTGACTCTTGGTTTGGCTGGTTTGGGCTGCGGGGCTTCATTGCAGACTGTGCTCCGCTCTGGTTTGGCGGGGAATTGCCCTTCCTGGGCTGCGGCCACAACTTAGAGGGCGATTGAAGCCTCATCACCTAGCCTGAGACCGGGTTGACAGCGTGTCTTGATAGGTTTATGTACTCCGACGGAGACGTTCGAGGGGCTTTTGCTGCTGGGACCTGCGCAGCAAGATCTGACTGTTCCGTGTTTGGAGACTGGGTTTCAGAGCGGTGACAATGCACAGCTGCCATCGTTTTTGGGCTACAGCTGTCTGAGTAGCGGCCTCCACGCCGACGATATCGAATCATGAGGACGGTGCACTGTGCTAATGCAGGGGTACGTTGCAACGCAGCATGCGGACGGGAGGATGGCATTCTCCTGTGTTTATCCCTACGCCTACGCTCATTGCAGCACAGTTGACGTTGAGATGTTGCTGCAGTTGGAAGCTCGCCGGGACATGCTGGAGTCTTTCTCGCCATTCTTTGGGGACCTTCGATGTAGATTCGCTACAATGCAGGGTATACTTGGCCCACCCCGAAATTCTCCAAAGCAACCAGGCGTCTCGGCCCATCTAGACGACCCAAATCCCATAAACCAAGAGTCGGCCTATGTCACGAGCCTGGGTCCCTCTTGATCCTGCACGCAGGACCTGAGAATGTAACATGGCTCGCACGTCAGTTTCTGCTGCTTTTCTTTCGGCTTCTCTGGAAGTATTGGGAAGGCTCTTAGTCCCAGGGACCTGACATTTTTGCACGCACTCAGACCAAGGCTTCCGTGTGTGTGTGTACGTCTTTGTGTTTCTGTCGCCTCTGTTCATTCAGCGTTGTTCAGAAGGGATGGCTCCGGCTCAGGGTTTTTCGCGTCGAGCCTTCGCAGAGGTTCGGGAAATGTGCAAGAATGCCCTTGATGTCGGTGTTTTTCGGGATCAGCTGGCGCTTGGTGATTCGAATGCTGAATGTTTCTACTACAGTAGCTTCTCTCAAGACTCTCCATCATCCGTGCGAAGCCCTACACTGTGAGCTATTGAACCTTGCAGCTTTCCTTTTGCACTTCTCGGTGACACAACTCCAAACTTGTGTCTCGCCGCAGATCCTGCAAAGCCAAGGTGGTCCGTCCCTGTTTCACCGAACCGTGTCTGAATTCGCGATGTCACATCGTGGATCGTCAGGGACTCAGCACAATGTTTCTGGCTCTGGAACGTCGCCAACGCTGTCTTGCGGCGTCGGGCCATGCTTGTTCGAAGTCCATCGTGTCGGGGATACTCCTCAAGACTCTACCTGGAGGTGACGGCTCAGAGAATGACATCTACTTATTTTCCGACCATTAAGGTGGCACAGCCTATGGAAGCGCGAAGCCGCCTTTTGAGTAGTTGTTTGCAAGCCCGACAAATGGTGCAAGAACCTGATTGCAGGGTCTGAAATTCCAGTGACGCGGCTAGACATGTAAGCTGCATGTGCTGCATCACCAGGGACAGTGTGACTTTGAGGTAGAGCCTTACGTGCAGTCTGTTTCCTCAAGGTCGACCCCGCTCATGAGCAGCAGGCTGGGCGCGATTCCGCAACACGGCTCACTCGATTCTCCTCTGCATTTTGGTTTCTAGATTTCCCTTCGCTTGCTTGCAGGTCAACGACGGCCAGATCCAGAGATGTGGTGTCCTTCTTGTTGCAATGCGGCCCGACATCGAACATGCTGGTAGTCAACTTGGTCGATCGGGTCCCGGCTTCACAGTCTGCGGCCTCGAGGGCTCCAGGATAAAGCGAAGCCGTAAGCTAGACAAGCTCTGCGGCACCACGCTTCTGCCGCTGTGCGCGACTGCGGCAACAGGGTGTGTGTGTGCGTGCAAACCGCATACGGCGAAGAAAAACCCTTGGTGTAAAGGTACATGTATAGAGTACCTCTGCACGCACATGCATACATGCTTGCCTGCACGGATACATACAGACATACGGTCACACATCGGTACGCATGTATGCCGTACGTATACACGCACATGAAGATGGGTATGTCTATCTCTCGTGGTGTGTCAATGCACGAGCTCTCATTGCGAAGAGTTGTGGGCATTGGCACAAGGCCACGACTCCCGCGGTTGCGGCGGCGTGTGCTTGCGCACCTTCGTGCTGCTCGCAACGGCCGGGCTTGGCTCTCAGGGCCTTCAAGAGTATGAGCGACGACAACTATATTCATTTTAAAGCGAAGTTGTCATCGTCTTCGTTTGAACTTCCTCGCCAGCACGGCACCGTCAGGAATTTCGGGCTTAGCAACAGTCCCAAGCGTGACGAGACTGCAGGTCTTTGATTTATTCTGGCTGCGCGCTGGTGTGCGCCCACTCAGATTGGGCCGTTGCCAAGCTAATGCTGTGTTCCGGACTCCTCCACAATGGCAATTTTTGGAAGAGACCACGGGACTCGACCCGCAATTCGGTTCGCGTTTCTACGGCCCCATTAGCCAGCATGTCAACCCTGCATCTTTCGAGCTTTGGAGGTACTGCATGCACAACATCCACGTGCGCTTCTGGCTCGGGGACCGGGGCCAAAGGGGCTGTGGCGCGAGGGCTTTGAACCATGAAGCCCTGGACCTCCGACCCTGCAATGGGGAGATGTAGCAGCCGAGCCTGATGTGAAGCAAGAGGACGTCGTCATCATCTGCATTGCGCTCTACTTAACTGCGCTGCTGCCTGCGACGATCATGTAGCCGGGACAGCATACGTGGTTAATTTCAATACGAGGTAGCACGACGAGTTGCAACCTTACGAAGCCATTCCATCGTGGTTTTTTGTCCGGAATCCATACTGTGGACCAGAGTGCGTTTTTCGAAGCCAGTGGCGGGTCAGATGCACACGGGTAGTTCTCTAAAGTAGGGTCCCTTTCAAGGTCCCCAGAACTGTTCGGCACCCCTATGAAAAGGACCCTAAAAGGGACCACCGTAATTTAGAGAACTACCTACATGGCTTGCTTGAAGATCCATCCATGAGGCTTGCATACAAGATCTACATCAACGCTCACCGGAGGAGTCAGAAGGAGACCTGCCAGTTCACGATCCCAGCTAGCAAGTGCATCTAAGTCTCAACATCCGCACACAGCAAAGGAGCAAAGGCCGGCCTAGCGTAAGGTGCACCCAGCGCAGCACAATCTCTAGACGCAGAGGGACTGGTGCAACCTGCGGTTCAAGTCAGTCGTCAATATCGAATTCGACTGCAGAGGATCATACAAAGTCGATGATGGGCCGCGGAGGCATGCAAGACGTCCTAGTCTCAGCAAGCCAGCTTGGGCTGTTTGGGCGGTGTTGATACAGGGGTCTAGTTGTGTTGGCCTTGCCTAGCAAAGCGTTCTGTCAATTGTGTAGCTCAGCAGCTCGGCTATCACTCAGATACACTGTAGTAGCGCCTGAAGCAAAGACTCTGGTTACGACTACATCAGGTCAGGTGAACAGCTATTGCAAATTAGAAGGATTCGACTGCTTTCCCATGCTACTTGCCTTCCAGATAATCCTTCAATTGACCTTGCAGAAGCTCCCACTTCAACCATCAAGGTGCGCGGTACTTTCACGCAGCCACTCGAGGGAAAATCTTGGATCTCCCAGTTTCGAAAGCACGTGAAACAGCGGGAGTGGTGAGCATGCTGAGGACTTCTCCTGGCGTATCTCAATCAGGACGTCGCCCGACTGCATCGTCTTTGTGTCTGTCTGCTTGACTCGCTGACGGTAGTCTGCCAAGCATCTCGTCTCAGAGGTTGCGCTTCATTCTCATGATCATCACCATGCTGTCCACCATTGCGGCCGTTCTGGGCTACATTGTGGTATCTTTGCTGCAACAATGCTTGGTTTGACCTCATGGCTGATGCGAAGAACAACTGTCCAACAAGCTCCTTTGCACCATATAGCCTAGATCTTCACACAACCCATGTACATGCAGTTGTTTGTGCGATGCTTCTGGCCCTGGAAACCGCCCATAACATGAGTCTGTCTAAGGCCTCAGGCCCAAGCTATGAGCAGCACCTTTCAAGCTGGGCATGTACGCTACTTTTGAAGATGGGCTCATGCCAGAATTCCAGGTGAGCGCGGGATTGGAGACGTCCTGGCCTCTGCATCTGCGGCTCAGGGGAGCAGAGTAATCTGAAAGACACCCGGTGGGAGTGTCTGTTGGCCCTTCTGTACTGTCCAGTTGCCTCGTCGAACCATATCTCAACCCGCAAGCATGGTTTCAACATGACCAGCTGTGCCGAGTTTGTGCTGGGTTCGACCTTGCATCATGCGAGGTCTGGCTCCTTGCTGCTGGAATGTGGAAAGAGCAGCAACGGCAAATCTCTGGAGTGGCCCTTGCATGCTTCCGGTTTCGGCCCGAATGACCCATAGACGACCCTACGTTTCCTTTGTCCAGAACCCCTGCTCAAGGATTTGGGGTTTCTGTGCTTCTCAGAAGACGCATGTGATGCGCACTTCAGGTAGCAGTCTATGAAACAACTCGGCATTTGCAGTCAGTCAATCGGTTCAGCACTCTTGATCCTGCACACCCACTCTGCACACACTTGCAAGACTTTTGCTTTGCCGCAACCATCGGTCAGTCCTTGTTGAATCACGCAGGTCAACCAGTGATCTGTGCGAACAAAGCGAGTCTGACATCGTTGGGTGAAGTTGCCTGAAGCCGTTTTTGGCAGGCAAATGAATGAGAAGCTGCGCGAGTTCGCCTCTTCGTCTCAGACGCTCGTCGAAAGGATAGTTTTCCGTTATCCCTGCTTCACCTTCAAATTGCATATGCCTCCAGGCAAAGGATTGCCAGATTGATTCCAATATTGCCGTGTACATGCACATGTCCCACCGACAATGATCATCAAGTGCTGCGAGTAAGCTGCGATGCTAGCAAGCTCAATGTCCATCTGTAGAGCCAACATCAGGTCAAATATGTCATAGACCGTGCAGTGCAACTTGCTGCACAGTGTGCCTGATAGAGGCGCAGCCCAAAGTCCATCAGCTAGGACGAATGGCTGTTGGCGTCGCCCCGACAGGCAATTCCTTCCACACGAAGCGAAGTACCGCCTCCGGCCCTAACAGTCATAGCAGAGCATGACAAGGCTCTTACATGAAAAGCTTTGTCAGAAAAGAGATCTATCAGGTCTGCCTTGCATGTCGAGCGCTCCACCCTAGAGTCTTTCTACAAAGCTCCGTCAGTCTGCAAAGCTCCAGGTGCTCCGACTCTGCACCACTCGACCAATGTCATGGCTTTGCCAAGGCGGACTCCTTCGAGATGGTTCAGTGTTCATTCTTGAAAAGACGATTTAAAGCTTGGGCCACTTCGAGTCTAAAGCCTTGGTTCCAGCGTTTCGGCTGAGATAACTGACGGGTTGTCTGGATCTGTTTTGTTGAGTGGCTTGATTGGGCATTTGAGCGCCGTGCAATTGATACGCTGTTGTGGCAGCCAGACGAGGGTTGCTTAGCAGACGCACATGGGCGCTTGAGTTGCAGGCTTGTGCCCAAGAACTTGTTGGCTTTACGCCGCATCAACAGCTCGCAGAAGTTGTGCATCCGAACATGTGCATTTTCCCCATGCCGACTGAGGCATTTCCGCCTCCGTCCCCCTGGGCCACTTACACCAAGGCTGGGAAGGGCTTGGAGGAGCCAAAGTTGCTTCACACATCGTCCTTAGCGACTTCCGAAAACGGACTTTCGGAAAGGCCGGTGTCATTGCTGCTTAGCCGAACCAGGTGAAGTTTATCCAAGAAGGCTTGTCGCCTGACGCGCTGCCCATTCTTATTCACATCGTACTCCAGGGTCTAGAGCCTGAAGACGACCCTCCCAGTCTGCAGCAACAGTCCGCTGAACGTGAGGTCCTCGAAACGGAGTTGGCGCGGGGACCCAGGGCAGTCGGGAGTTGACCAGATTCGCAAGCCATGTGCGGAACTGGATCTTTCGTGCGCGGGCATGTTTCTCAGAGAGGAGCAAGGTGTGTCTGACGGTCTGATGTGTCATCGTCGCTGTCCGAAGGGGTGCGAAGTTTGGATTGCGAAAGGGCGTTCACGGTGCGGTCACCCTTGACTAACTGCTTTGCATAGACATCCGAGTTCCAGTCCGAGGGGCTAAAGCAAGAAGAAAGAGATCTTTGCTTCAAGGATTGTGGTGGGTGGTGCAGGAAGGAGCCGGCGCTCTTCCGCACGGATACAGAGAAGGGATCGGAGGCCGACGTTGGGAGATCTCGGGGTTGCGGAGAATTCTGGGAGTTCAGTGTCGCTACGAACTTCCGCAAGAAATCGAGGTTGAAGGCTCTAGAGTTGACAAGCCTTCCTCCTGGAAACATTCCTACTTTGTCAGAGCTTGAAGAGTTTACCGCCAGCAGGCAAGAGATGCCGATGCAGTGCTGTAGCACCTGTAGCAGCCTCAACAGACGAAGGTCTCCTGTGATTGATCACACAGTTCGTCCATTGAACTCAGAAAGCGGAGTTGGATGGACCCCTATTACTAAAGGTAACAGGACATTGGCAGAAGCCCATGCTGCAAAGCTCTGCTGCCCCGGCCTGGGCTTCCTTCGGTGCTACCCGGTGGTTGCTGCGAGTGAAGTGGAGTGTGGGAACAGGTCACGAGTGCGCTGGTGCTCACTACCCGTCGCGCACCGAACTAATGCCCGCGATCAGCACAAGAGCGCGTACCGGCCTGGCATGGCCGAACCTCCAGAACAAGTCTCACGTCCAATCGTTGCCAACATGTTGCAGGCCTGCGCAACGAATCTCGGCCGACATCTCTGGTGTGTGGCTGCCTTCACTGGGGCCTCGTGTCTGGAACAGAGTACGCAGTCAGCTGAGCTCACAGGGCTACACACCTACTGGCACCGATTACATGGCTTGGGTTAAGGAACTTGTGTCGACAGCATTTGCTCCGGACCCGGTGGCGGATGTGGTTACTACTGTAGAGATGCCCAAGCGGAAAGAAGCCAGCAGTGCATTTTGAGTGATCGATCTTGGCTAAGTAGTCTTCCTGTTACTTTCCTGCCCGACTCACTCGGACAACGCGCAAGCAAGCGCCAGGTTCATTGCCGGCTCATGTTCACGTCAAGACTGCCCATCTCTTTCGGCGTGATGGCAGGTTCTCACTGAACACGGAATCCTGGGAACGGAGGAGCCTCCGACCCCACAGAAGACCCGAGGCCTCAGGTCACCAGGTTCAGCAGAGATCTTGACATTGCTGCTAGGGCCAAACTGCACTCGCAGAGGAATCCTGGCTCAGGTTCCAACAATGGTGAGTGCATCGATCTTGGCCATGTTGGGATTTGTGCTTCTTGGCCACTCTAATCTCAATCAATGGTGCTAGCCCAGTGCTAGCTCGTCATATTCAGAACGAGGCCAGCCGCAGCAGCAACAACAACAACAACAAGAACAACAACAACTTCCGTGCCATAGTAAATGCCATAGTAGGGATGGTCGCCACCATCGTACCGCCGCGAACAGACGAGCGATAAAGTTCGCAGGTATGCTGGTGCATGTTAAGAAAGAGTCGGTTCTTTGAGCTTTCGAGTGCCTTCTTAACAGCATGGTGTGCTTGAATCCGGCTGGAACCTCGGCAAGTGGTAAGGTTCGGGAGCCGAGTTTCCCACTGATGCGCATGACCCCAACCACTGGAGAGCGGAAGTTGACCCTGGAGAAGCTGAAAGTGCACGAGCCAGATCCGAGGCCTTCCAAGAGAACCCATGAGATCGCTGAGAGCCTTCAGAGAGAGAGAGAGAGTCAAGACCTTCAGGCTAAGTACGTCTTAGATTTCGCGAGCTTTCCACCTCTGAAGTCGTCCTGGGCCCTAAACCCCAAACCCTAAACCTGCTCCTTGTGGCCGAACCCTCAGAAGAGCCTTAAGGCTCTACAGCTACGATGGGCTCTGACTGGCAACCTCCAGGACTCTTTGCGCAATGAAGGGAAGGGCATACAGGGGTGTTCAGAGAGTGGGGCTACCTCATTTCGAGGTGGCTATAAGCACGACACCAGCATTTCGGGTTCTGTATTGAGGTGCCTTTTTCTGAGACTGCCACATGTAGAATCTATGGGTAACTACTACTCCTTTTATCGTCTTCCATGAATTGCTGCGCATAGGCAGCTCTAAGGGGACTGTGCAGTTTGAAATCGGTGAAAACATCATAGGGGTAAGGTTACTGTTTGCTTGAATTGAAGCTGTAGCTACTTTGCTTGTATAATATGATCCCCTTAAAGGCATGCGGTGCAGCGCTGGCACCATGCCTTAGCCCGGGGTGCCGCTGTAATGGCACAGTGTTGGGGTCGTACTAGTACCTAAGTTTCTACCCCTCCATGCAATGCCCGGAAGTCAATGTCCCCGCGTGTCGCATCTCAGGCATACTGCCTGTACAGGCGTGCGGTGACTTCGTCCTTTACTGCCGGCTCCCTGCGAAGCACGCAGGGCGTTGGTGGCAGAGCGACCGGACGCGCCGACTTCGCTAAAACGCTGAGGGTGACCCCTAAGCCGTACAAAGGAGAGGGCTTAAAGGCCTAACCCAGGCCTTGCTGGCGCTGCAGGTGCCGCTCCGAAAGAGAGTTTTGTTTGTCCGGGTCAACCCAGAAAGTTTGGGGGATAAGGATTCGCGGGTCGTAGACCTGGTGAAGCAGACTTCGCATAATCTCCCAAAGCCACGATGTAATGCCAGATCGTGCAAACTCAGAAAGAGCAGCAAGCAAAATGCGTACTGATCTCCTTGTTTGTGTTAGCCCGCACTTTCAGCGAGGCGGCGCATGAAGAGAGAGAGAGAGAGAGAGCGATGAGATGTGCGGGTGGGCTTGATGCACTTGGGTTTTGATCGACCCCCAAGCCCGGGAGCGAGAGAGAGAGAGAGTGAGGTGCCCAAGTTTTGACTCTGGTGTGCCGACAATTGCACCCGAATGTGCACTAGTATGATACCTGCAGTATCCTGCAGTGCCAGAAGCCTCGGCTGCCGCTTCGACGCACCGTAGATTTTCTGGGTGAGGACACGTGGGCCGTTGCTTCCGTGTCCCGCCTCGAGCTGCAAAGACCTCTTCCAGCTTCGACATTTTGAATCGAAGTGCGGCCCGCAGTTTCCATTGAGCTTCGCCGTGTGGCAAGCCCAAAAGCATCACACAAGATGGTGCCGGCTGCTTCTTTCCGAGATGACGATGCTGAGCATGCCGGTAATCAGTGAAATCAGCGAAGGATCGCCAGGAGACCTTCCCACGTTGAGGGGTCGTCCGCGATAGATTCGGTGCCTCAGACTGTGCAAGAAGTAATTTAGTGGTACATCATGATCTCCCCTGTGTAGGTTGCAGCAGCTGTGTGCATCTGCTGTGAGGCGCAGAAAGCCAAGAAGACCTTGAAGAGGCTCGTTGCCGGTTGTTCACGGTTGGTCACCGCGTGACTTCAATCGTGGCACGTTGCAGACTTGCGTTTGCGTGCAGAAACCGATTGCGATCTGGTATCATCTTGTCGCTAGCCACAGCTACAACAGCGATTCCACAGATTGATTCGCAGGGGCGTCACCATGCGCACACTTTGACACATTGTAGGCTCATGCTTTGAAGCCTCAACCCTGGTCTTGTTCGGAGGCTCTGAGTGCTTTAACGACTGCCAGGCCAGAGCTTGGAATCTTCTGGAGGTTGTTGTTTGGGTCTGTTTCTGAAGTCTCCGAGACTTAAAGTCGGACTTGCCACCCCCTTCTGAGTGGGTTACTTCGCAAAGCGACCTGCGGTGATCCCATCGTGCAAGGTACAAAGTGAGCTTTGTGACAAGTGCCCCTAAGACGGAGACACGTGATGTCGTAGCTGTGCATAGCCAGGAATGATGCATGTGCACTGTGGCTGCTAGGTTTCATGGTAGTTCGCTGTGGTTGGTAAGAAAGCGAATAATGAGCTGGCCATGCAATTGGCTCGGCATTCTTAGTTAATTATGCTGGTTCAAGCATCAGTGGAAATCGAGAATGCCGCTTTCGGTGGTGCTGTTGCTTCGCAGGAGTTCCATTAGGCAAGTTCCATCCTTGTCACTGCCTACATGCGCTGTATCTCTAAACAAGCGTTGGGCTTCAGATCACAAGGTGAAATCTCGCTGCCGGACTAGCAGAAATCGTCATCAACTTCACAGCCATGACATCGCGTCTGTTTCAAGGACATCCGCCTTTCTTTTTCGAATTCGACAACGTTGCCCATCTCAGCAATTGCGGAGTTGATGGCCCATCGACTTCTTCACGACACGTCAATACTCAGAAAGCCCTGTACCATCTTCTGACCATCGATCCGACACTACCCTGGGGCCCAAGCAGTGTGCTGCCGTGTGGCCTTTGACCTCCGTGAAGCTTTGGGGTCAGAAGGTGCTTCCTGTAGTTCCCCGCAGCTGCACCCACACTGGAACACATATTTAAAAATATGCCTTGCACCAAGAGGCCTGCCTAGGCTTGTCATAAGTGATGCCGGGTAATGCAGGCAAGCACCGATTGCTTGGCCACGGCCCATGTGCATCAAAGGTAGGGGCACAGGCGGCACAGGTGTTGTTCTGCTGGAAGCGCAAAGCAGAAAGGCTGAAAGGATCCTGGGCTTTGGTGGCACATGGGACCTGCTGATAGAACGAATGAAGTGACACCTTTCCAGGCGCAGAACGACTGCGCAACATCCGCTGTTATTGTTGCACTACCCAGGTGTCTGATACGATATCGAAACCGTATGTAAGCGTGATTAGACTTGCTTCCGCAACAGGCTGGATTGTCGCAGGAGTCTGCATCCCTTGGGCCTCCTAACTCCAAGGCCCATGCCTGGGAGAGTGTACATACTTGCACTCGCTTAGTCCGGCAGGAAGGATGAATGCATTTCGAGACTTGGGATGTGGATATGCGTTGGTAACACGAAGACTGTTGCTGGGCGCCGGAATGGCAAACTGATCGTACAGACATCTCGTCAGGTATGACACAGACACAGGTAGACTATGATCTTTAAGCAGGCAGGCCGAATGAAGTGATAGATCCAGTGTCAAATGGCACTACAACCCAGGGTTATGTGTTGCCCACAGGCAGTGAACTTGTTGTTTCTGATGTTATCATTTTTCTGCCTTGCTTGTGACCTTTCGGGTCATCCGACATGCATGAGCCTGCTACATCGGCATAACACAACAAGCTGATCTCCCAACCTGACTTGGGCACAGCAGCCTGGAGAATTTCCAAATCGTTGGAAGAAGCCTCATCAGATCTACGACAGGACGTTCTTGTTTGTTGAAGCTCCGGGATGCTCCATGGCTATGGATCATGACTAGTGGATCGGGGTGCATATCGAACTCAGCGCCATCAGTTCGGCGACATCCCCCTGCCGAGGTCTCAAGCCATCTTTGCATTGAGAGTCTAACGCTTGAGCTGTTCGGTTCTGTCATCACTCACACGATCTTGCAACCTAGCCGTTCTGGCTGAGTATAAATACCGCGCTTGAGCCCGGGATAATGCATAGCCTATGATTCAGTGCGGATAGTGCCGAGTAGATTGGACGTTAGGCCATTTATATTAGTTCTGTTTCGACGAGACGTGGTCTACCAAGCTTGGACAGTCTGTTCCACGGTTCGAGCACCTGAAGCTGTTCAGTGGCAGTGTTCATAACAACTAGACTGACTGCTGCTTGTTCCCTCACACTGCACTGAATTTGTATTTCTTGGTATTAGTGCTTGAGTTTAGATTCAAAGATACAGGATTTCCTCATTGGGACCATCATTATTGCGGCACTTGCGGATGTGTGTCCCAGGTTCGTGGTTGGCACCCTTTACTGTTGCTTAGGGCCCATCCTGCACCTCCAGTGATGACACGACGGACTTCTGAATGCCAAAGTCTCTGCATCGGCGACGGTATTGAAAGCTTGCTTTGGGACTTGGGCTATGTGCTTCGTGACCCGAGCCAGGTGTAGTAGAGCCGAGGCACCAAGGCTTACCAGATCTCACAGGAAAAGCGTATCAGCAGTATGTGTCAGTGATCAATGTGCAGTTGCCGAGGGAGAGACTTGCCTGGAGCGTCAGATTCCTGTGGGAAACGTACGCTTCCAGCTATGCTGTGCACAACTCCGGTCAGGATGCCCATCAAGCGACTGCAGTTCTTTGCCTCGCAGCACACTAGGCAAAATCATGCACCTACCAAAGTGTTCTGCAATAGGTCGAACTCTCACGAGTGTGAGGCAACTGCAGCGGCTTTCGATCAGCAGCGCATAAGGCATCATCTGGCAGACAAGTTCCGAAGTGCGGCCTTGTGGTCAGCATCTTTGCTCTCTAGCGGTCAAATTCTCATGGAAGGTGAATCCCTGATTTAATAAAAGACGAATGTTAGTCGCACTTAGTACTGACATAGTCAAAGGCTGGCTCAATTCCCGGCCTCGTCAGACCGCTTGGATCATGTTCTGACCGCTATCAAAAGCGGAAGCTTCAAGGCAGTCTTTGCTAATTCATCTTTGCATCATTCGCCGGAGCCTCAGTATTCCACCGTTCTGTGGCTACGTCCTGGCTTCGTGCACGTTTTTTGTGCGTGTGTGCTGTTCCGGAAAAGCTGAGTCCCTCTGACTTAGAAGCGGCCCCGCTGAGGTGTGCTGCAGATTTGCCCTCGACAGCGACTCGACAGCAGGAGGAAGCCAGATACTAAAAGCAGTTCCTACTACCGCCACAGTTTTGGTGCTTGCAGTGAATCAAGCAGAATTTCCGTCTAAAGATATTTAATGAATGTTCTCAAAAACTGCAAGATATGTTTTGGTTGGAATTTTTCGTCGGCACGAAAGATCTTATGCTCAGATTGACTATTTTAGATGTTTATGATTCTAATAATTAAATAACGGTCGTATGCTTGATAAAATTGAGAAATAGTGATTCTGAATTTGATTTAATTTTTGAGATAATTAATATAGAATGAGAAAACTAAAAGAAATTGAAATTATAGATTAATTTTAAAATAATGATTAACGAAAATAATAAATAGGAATGAGCTCTATAAAAAAAATCTTGTACTAATATATTCTTTAATTATTCATTTTTTTAAGAAAGAATACTAGGAATTTAAGCTTAGATAATAATATTGAAATGGAAATTAAAAAAAAAAAATATGGAGATACGAGATTAAAAAAACGAAAAATTGAAAATTTCAAAATTTAGAAGTAAATAATTTTTTCTTATTTTATTAGATTATATGGATAATTTATGAAGAAAAAAGAAATATGTTAATAATAATTATATGAATTTCTATTTATTTTTATCGAAAAATATAGCTTCCCGCTATTTATTTAATTAATATTTTTAGTATTTAAAAGGATCGATGAGAAATCGACGCTCCGAATCTTTCTAATCTAAGTAGAGAAAAATATTATCTGAATCTCTATGGGTCCAATCTCTATCTTATGATGAGAAGTAGATTTCTTGCATAGATGAAATTAGTATCTTGTAATGACAAGGATATTATATGAAATTATATTATTATAATCTGCTTTGGCTAATGAAAGAGT